GAGTAATGGGCTGATGCAGGCTAGAAGAGCGGTCAGAGAAAAATGCCCAAGGACGCTGGGCACAACAGACAGCGTCCCTACGACCTTCTGAGCAACATCTTACACCACAGGACACTTTCTTCTTTAAAAAAACATGCTTTCCTTCCTCATCTTCATGATCCCTCCACCCTCCACTCTTCCTGGCTTTCCTCCTTCTCCCTGGCTAGTCCTTAATCTTCCTCCCTGACCCCTCGCCCTCTGCCTTCCCATAGATGCAGGGAAGCCTTTGGTGTTGTCTCTAGTGTTCTCCTCTTCTCACTCATGGACTTTATCTTATATATATGATTCTCATAGATACGTGTATATGTATATATCCTCAAACTACATCATACATATATATCCTCAATCATATATATATCTCATACATATATCCTCATAGATATATACATAGCCTCACTCATATATATACATGACTACAAACTACACTTTTATCCCAGACCTCTCTGCTGAGGTATAACTGTTTGCCCCTAGATAATAGCTCAGAATAACAGCGGACATTTGAACACACTGGCGGGCACTGTCCCAAGCATACTTGTGAGGTATGTACAGTCATTGCCCCCATTTTACAGGTGAAGAAACTGAGGCACACAAAGTTGATGTAACTTGCCCAATATCACAAGGTCAACAAGAGGCGAAGCTGGGGTCTGAACCCAGCCAGTCGGCTTCAGAGTCTGTGAGTTGAACCACCTCACGGTTATCTGCATCTGAGCCATGGGAAATGCTGCATGTCCAGAATCAAAGTTCTTGTTTCCCCCCAAACCAGGGTGGTGGTGGGGGATCCCAAGTGACAGGAAAGCGAGCCCAGGTAGCATCTTACTACATATGGGGTCTCCAGACTGTCATGAGATGCTACCTTTAGGTGAAGTGAAGAGCAAGTTTGGGAAGAGGGCGTGGAGGGCTGTGGAGGCCGAATCCGGGCACAGCAGACCCAGAGGACCCCGCTCTGGCAATTACAGAAGGAGGAGGCAGTGCAGTGACAGACAAGAAAACAGCACAAAACCAGGACCTCAGGGTCAAAGGCAACAGTACTGCAGGTGTGACATTCAGGGCCGGGCCACGGGTCCCCTTTGATGTATGAGTTTGGAGAGGAGGAAAATGAACTGAGAAAGTGGGATGCAAAGTCAAACAAGCAGAACAGAGACTAAATGGGTGGGAGATTTGGAAGTGCTGGGTGGGGGGTAAAAGTTTCAGTAAAAACTGAAGCAGCAGTTTCTGATGCCAATATGGGTGTTTGCCTCACTTTTGTGATAATAACAATAATCAAAGTTAACATTTACTGAGCATTTCCTGTGTGTCAGGCTCTGTGCTAAAGGACTTACAAGCACTGACTTATAAAATAAATGAACCTGCATTACAAATCTTGGATATGTTATTAATTGCCTTACCTGGCAGATGAAGAAAGTATTAAGTGTATTTTACAGATGCAGAAACAGAGGCTCAGAGAGAGTAAGTCTTCCAGGCAGAGCTGTGCGGCCAGAAGCTGCAGATCTGGAATTCAAACCCAGGCCAGTAATTGCCTGCTTATATGTGTTACAGCCCCCAGTTAGTCCCTCGAGGGCAATGACTTTGTCTCGTTTGTCTTCACAACTCTAGAACCTAGAACAGCGCCTGGCACACAAGCAATGCCCTTTAAACACTGTAGCCACTCCGTGTAATCTGTGTTTGTTGAATGAATAAATGAATGACTGAATGTACAAACTAACAGACAATTCTCTTATGTGCTAGCTGTGGATGGCACCCCTGGATAGGGTCTGGGTTCTGGGAGCTGGGGACATTGGAGGTTTTGTGGAAATTTTGAGTGGCGGTTCCTGTATCCACCATGGGAGTGGAGAGATGATCCGCCATGCAGAACCATGTCACAGTGTTGGGTTTTTTCACACTTTGATGTTGAGAGGTCAGAAAGGACTATGACCACGGCCAGTGTATGTTTGAGGGCTGGGAGGCATTAGGTGGAGAGATGGTGGGAGGGAGGGAGTGCTCTGCTCAAGAGAAAAAAAATTGAAAACACAAAGGGACAATCTGAAGAAAAGACATTGGAGAAATAGACGCAGAGCTGAAGATCCAGGGAGAAAAATGGGAAAGTAGCGTAGGAAGCCATGTCAGAGGGTCTAATGCTGGTGCTGTCACAGAGACCCGTGAGAGCCTGCTTCCTACAGAGCTCAGACAAAGCCGAGAGGGGTATGGACTGCGTGGGGCGGGGCCCTGGTGTGGCTCTGGAACCCAGCACAGGACGGACGCTGCTCCCTGCAGGAGGACTGGGCCTGCAGGAGCCGTGGCCTCTGGCTTGCTACACCTAAGAACTTTTTGACCCAGTTGGCCATAACTAGGGATATGGGGTGCGGGGAAGAAAAAGTGAAGAGCAAGGGAAGGGAGTGGGCAAGCCATAGTTACAATGAAGGAAGAACGTGTGGTGTCTTGCTAAAAGGCAGGAGAGGAGAACGGCACCAAGGACTGTGGTCTGGGGGACAGGCTCTCCGGGAAAGCAGAAATGCCGGAGCTTTGAAATGTGCAATGAGTTAGGCGAGGACTCGCGAGGGCAAAAGCATCCCAGAGAAAAACAGGGTGAAACAGAAGAAGCGGAAATAATGAAAATTGGCGAGTGTTGAGTTTTTAAGAAATTGATACGGGATGTTCAGTGGAAACTGTTGCTTTGGCTTTGGGGATAAGAGAACTGTAAATATGGATAATATGTCAATACCATTTATAACTTGAAAAATCTGGAAGGCTCAGATGAGATAATCTTTCTGAGGGTGCTTTGACAAGTATGAAGGAAGATATTTGCAGCTGAGAGGAAAGGACACTGGGTGTGTAATCTGAAAACTAGAGTTGAGAGCCGGCTCTGCCCCGGACGGCAAGGACAAGCCACCGGTCCTCTCATTTGCCTCTGTGTCCTCAGCCCAGAAAGTGGCAGTAAAGCCCTTTCACACAACGGCCATGAGGCGCTGCTTTCATTTCCTATGGCTGCCACAACAAAGTACCACAAACTGGGTGGCTTAAAACAACAGAAATCTATTCTCTCAGTTCTGGAGGCCAGAAGTCCAAAATCAAGGTGTCCCCAGGGCCACACTCCCTCCCGAGGCTCTAGGAGGGCATCCTTCCTTGCCTCTTTCAGCTTCTGGTGGCCCCAAGGGGTCCGCAGCTTGTGGCTACAGTGCTCTAACCTCTGCTCGTCCTCACACGGCTTTCTCCCTGTGTCTCTGTGTGTCCTCTCCTCTTCTTATATGGACACCAGCCATTGGATTTAGGGACCACCCTAAATCCAGGATGATCTCCTCTAGAGACCCCTAACTAATTACATCTGCAAAGACCCTATTTCCAAATAATGCCACATTCTGGAGTCCCAAGTGGACACGGATTTGTGGTGGACACTACTCAATCCACCACAGGGTCCAAACAGCAACGAAGCAAGAACACCAAATATATGTAAAATATTTCCCACATCCTTCTTTTTCTTCTTGTCCCTAAAAGGCCACTCTCCTTATAGTGCCTCTTCACGCTCCTCTAACGGCTGCCATTGCCCAGAGGATAAAATCCAGTCTCCCAGGTCAGCACTGGCCACTTTTCCCAGTCTCTGTTGCTGGCGTTTCCCACCCTCCCCATGACCTCCACCCTGTGTTCCCCGTCGACTGACTCCCGCTTAACCTTTACGACCCAGTGGAAACCCCTTCAAGGAGCTTTCTCAAAGGCCCTGAAGGTCAATTCTTCCTGCCCTGAACGCCCTTGGCAGATAGTGTTTCCTTTCGCGCGGCAGTTAATCAGCTGTTCAGACTCCCTTTGTTATTTGCCTTTTTATGAATTTAAGCCTTTTCTTCTGCACCAGCCAAGTTGAAGACTGGGAAAGTGTCTTTCTCTAGTTTCTTTTTCTAGAACCTAGTTCTGTGCCTGGCACAATCCAGGTCCTCAGTAACTGTTACCGCATTACTTATTTCCCACTGCACCCACTCTGTTCCTGCCAAAATTTCTTCTCTTTCACCTCACACGCGGCTGCCTTTCCTGGTCACCTCGGTCCAGGGAGATGCCTTTCTCCTCTGAGCTCCTGGAGCATCTAGCATCTATCACCTTGTTCGGATCCATTGTGTGTTCATCTGATGGTCATTCATTCACTCATTCATTCAGTTGCATGAAGTGCTAATTCTGCTTGGCTGTGCTGGGCTCCAGGCTCCAACCTGTAAGGCTGTCTCATCCTCCCATTCGGAGGGCAAGCAAACTTTCTCATCCTTCTTTCTTCTCCTGACAGGACCTAACACAGTTCTTCAAGTGTTATACATGCTCAATTTGACAGTTCAATTCAAATTGCTGTAGCTAATTCTTAAAGGATGATGCCGAATGAGGGATTAAACGTGCTATGAACTTAAATGAGGCACTCAAACCCCTCTGAGAAGGCGCCACAAGAGAACCAGGTCCTGAGCTCTGTTGCCAAGTCCAGATGGAGGATGAGCCAGGCTTTGAGAAGTGGCTCCCCTGTACCTTCCTCATTTGCAGTCGGGAGAATGCAGAGGGTGGGGCTCTGCCTTCTGCATTCACCACCGTGGTGACTCTGCTGTTCCACCATGGCCTCTGGACAACCACCCGAGTAGTCTTTCAGGGACCAGAGGGAAGCTGGAATTTGTTATTCCAATCAGGACTGTCTGAGAATGCAGGCAAGGTCGCGAACTGGGGACAAACACACAGTGGTATGGCCGAGGCAGAACCCTACTGTGCGGTGCATTACGCTGTGCGATAAGGCAGGCTCAGAATGCAGACTGCACCCCTCCCTCCAATTCAGCACAAAGGCCCATTGGCCTCTTCTCCTGCACCAGCCAGAAGGCAGGATCTACAGCCCCCTCCCCTGCGCCGGGGGGCATGGGGTGGGCAAATAACAAGCTGGCACTGGTTCCAGGTGCTTCTCTGACCTGAGCATCTGCAATGCCCTGGGTGGGGATGGTGCTGCCAGGGGCTCTCAGTGGAGGGGAGTCACTCACCAGCATTGTTCTGCTGCTTCGTGTTTTTGATGTAGGCGGAGAACTTGGAGAAGATGTCGATGCCTGCTGTGTTGGATTCCCGATGTTTTGCAGCCAGTCTGGGGTACCTGGAATGGAATACACAGTGTTCTAGGAGCAGTGAGAGCTTGGAGCTCCTTTAAGGGAGAGCCTGTTCTCATCACGATGAGCAACACTCCTGTTTATAAGTGGATCTGCTAAACTTTTTGGATTTTTACAGCCATCCTATAGGGACAGTGGGCCTTCTCAGCCCTAGTTCACTGATAGAGGAACAGAGGTCAGTGAGGTGAGGAGAGCTGTCTAGGGGGACACAGTCTGTGGGCAGGGAACCAGAACATCATTCAGAGGGCCCAGGATGTGTCCTCCTCCTGGGACCACCAACAGGGATGCACCAATAAAAAGGCTCTAATCAAAATTCAGAACGAGCTTGCCTCTATATCCATGGGGTCCCTGACATTTCCGCTACCCACATGAAAATAACTATCCACTGCCAGGCCTGCAATTATAATCCTAGCTGCATGCAGCTAATTCTGGGAGCAAGGAGATGCTAGGCACTTTGGCATGGAGGCCTTGAAACCATTTCTCAAAAGGAAGGGTACCCACAGTCCTCTTCTAAAATGTCCTTCGTACATGTCTTATTTGTGTGCAGTAATATGATGTGGAAACTACCAGGCTCCCTCAGCAGGATGAGTGTTTCCAATTGCTTTATTTCCAGGCGTAGAGATAGATTTGCAAGGATCCAGCCCCTCTCCTTTGCACAGTCTTTCATTTTGAAGCCAGAAGAATATACGGGGCAGACTGGGGTTAGGACTCTTTCTATTGGTCCTGAGACGGAATGAGGTAAACTTGCTTGTGTGGGAATCCATGGCTTTGACCCCATTAGCACCATCAAAATGAGCAATTCTAATTTTCAAAAAATATTATCTCACAAATATTTTATGTGTATGGCCAGGCAAGGGTGGGAGGAGATGGGGGACAGTTGCTTGGTTACCATTATTATCAATTACATGGTGAATAGTTTGTGATCTCTGGGTGAATAGTTGTAGACTGTGAGCTGTTTGGTTCCTTTATGTTTAAAAAACAAAAGGCCTTTTTTTGTTTAATGTTTTAAATAATTTGAACCAAAAAGTCTTTTTTGTGTGTGTGTGAGGAAGATCAGCCTTGTGCTAACATCTGCCAATCCTCCTCTCTTTTCGCTGAGGAAGACTGGCCTTGGGCTAACACCGGTACCCATCTTCCTCCACTTTATATGGGATGCTGCCACAGCATGGCTTACCAAGCTGTGCATCAGTGCCCGCCTGGGGTTCCGAACCGGTGAACCCTGGGCCACGGTAGCAGAGCGCGCGCACTTCACTGCTTTCGCCACCCGGCCGGCCCCTTGAACCAAAAAGTCTTTAAAAATTATTTGTTGTTCTTTCATTTTCATGCTCCTGCTCATTAGTTAGGACCGTCCACTCTTGGGCCATGTTACGTGGATGTTTAATTTCAGATCCTGCCATTGGACGAGTCCTCAGAACATCACTGGGTCCAGCCCTCTGCCATCAGGTAGACACGGAAGGCATTATCCTCCCCATTCTACAGGGAAAGCAATTGAAGATCAGAGAGTTAGATGACTGTTGAAGGGTCCGTGAATAATAAATAGTGGAGAGACCGTGAGAACCTGGTTTCCCACCTATTCTTCCTACTGGATCACACCATTTCTCTGATACCAGTGAAAGCTAACCTGTATTGAGTGCCTACTATTACCAAGCGCTGTTCTAGCCCCTTTCCATGTATTGGTCATTTACTCCTCACAGTTCTACTGGTACTGTTCTTAGCCTTATTTCCCACATGAGAAAAATGAAGCATGGAGAAGTTAAGCAATTTGTTTAAGGGGATGTGGCTCGGTGGCAGAGCCAGGATTCCAACCCGGGCAGTTTCACTTTGGAAGCCCAGCTGTTAAGTTCCTTGTCCTGTGGCCGCTGGACTCTGCTGTTTACCCTCAAGGCCCCAAAGCCCTCGCTGGAGCTTGGCTGAGCGCCATGGGTGAACTCTCTCCATCCACCAGGAGAGGGCGCTCTGCATGGGTCCTGCATATGCATGCCTTCCTGAGTATAGGGGGAATTACCAAGTTCATTTGCTCTGACTGGAGGCACAAAGCAAGGTTTCCTGCAAGGTGCTAGTTAATCTGACAAGACATGGGAATTTAGGATCATCCTTCCCTATTTTGGCCTTCTCACACAGAATCTGGCATGCTCTTAGAATTGACGGCCTTAAATTATTATTAATATATACCAAGTACTCTTTGTTTTTGCTTGATAAGGTAACAATGTAAAGAAAGACCTAGAAAATGCATTTTCTTTTGGGTTTGTTAGGGTTTTTTGCTTTCTGCCATCATTTGATCAGACTTCTAGTAGTCTGACCATTTCTTCATGATCAATGTGGGCCAAACATGAGTGGGTGGTACCAAATCCAAGATGAATGACAAAGAGCTGTGGGTTCATGGAAACCATGGTAGTGCCTCCTGTTTTCTAAGCACTATGAGTCATTGAGACTTTACTTTAGCACAATGTCCCATTTGAAGTTTGTCCTTTTGGGAAGTGTGTCTTCAAATATGAATCTCACAGATTTCGGTAACTAGATTTGGGGAGGCTATGTACAGGATGTTAAGTATGTTTATTTTAGCTCTATTTTTACACTATATTTTAAATATGCAAATAAGTGGGCTACAGAGTACATTCTGTTTCTCCAAAAGGCTAGCAAAGAGTGTTTCATTCACAGAAGCATCTTTGAAATAAGACTGTGATGTGGTCTGGTGACAATCAAAGAGATGGTGAATTTGTCTAACTCAGGAGCTAGCAAACTACAGCCCATGGGCTAAATTTAGTCCAACATCTGTTTATGTACCTCCCATGAACTGAGACTCATTTTTGCATTTTTAAATGATTAGCAAAAATCAAACGAAGGATATTATCTTGTGACATGCGAAAATAATATGAAATTCAAATTTCAGTATTCATATATAAAATTTTATTGGAACACAGCCACAGCCATTCACTTACATATTGTCTATGGCTGCCTTCGCTCTACAAGAGCAGAGCTGTGACAGAGACTTGATGGCCCACAAAGCCAAAAATACTTACTATCTGGCTCTTTACAGGAAAGTTTGCCGATCCCTGCTCTAGCTAATGAAAATTTCTCTCCACTCTGTTTTTAAGATATCTTATTTCAAATGCATTCATCTTAGACATGCACTTAAGCTTCATTCTGGGAACTAAAACAGTTGGCCTCTCATCAAAAAAAAATTTTTTTGCAAATAGTAGCCAAAAAAAAAAATACAATTGCAGATGGAAGTGCCCTGGATTCTCATCCACTGGCCAAAGGCTACCTAGCCCTGAATGAAAAGACCCCATGCAGTTAAACCAGCATGCAGTAAGCACCTACCAGGGGCCTGACCCTGTCCCGGTGTTGGGAATACACTGGAGAAAAAGAGAGACAGTTCTCCTGTCCTCATGGCATGACCTTTGCTGATTCCAGGGGCTTACCTGGAGCTTGAGTGTTGACCCTCCTTTTTCTCATGAGCTGAAAAGTGGAAGGACTTCCCTTCTGTCCCTTCTCCATTACTCCTGCTTCCTAACCTCACCACAACGCTCACTCGAGAAGCAGGTTAATGCTTCTGACTTGTCTGATCCTTGACAGTGTGCTTGCCTTGCCTTGTCTCTGCTACTTAAGCAAATGATCCTTGGAGGTGGAGAGGGTCTGGCTTATCCATTAAAAGACATCCATTGGGATCTGTAGTTTGAAGACCTAAACTCAACAATTGTCTGTACAATTACATCTGGGAGACAGTCACAAAAGAGGCACTGACCTCTCTTAACTCTTCAAGCCGCCATTTAATGAGATCTTCTTACTCTATATCAGGGACTAAGCGAAGTAGTATTATCTCCTATGATAGTCCCTTGAGATCAACATCATGGTCATCGCTTTGTAGATGTGAGAATTAAAATTAGAGAGGTTTTAAGCAGTTTATCTGTAGCAGAGACCACTCATGCTCACTAAAGGTCCATGTGCTTCTCTGCATTTCCCAGCTTCTCTGTCAGGATGGGGTCATGTGACTGGATTCTGACCAATAGGATGGGAGGAAAAGCGATGTAACCATTCACAGCCTGGACCTTAAAAACATTTTGTGCGATCTTTCTTTTCTCTCTTTCCCTGCCGAGGGAGAGTTGGAGGAAATGTATTCCCAAAGCTACAAGATGGAAGAGTGCCACACTACCCAATCGGAATTTGTGTGAGCGAGAAATAACCCCATATTCACTTAAGCTGCTGAGACTTTGTTGCTCACTCGTTACTCCAGTGTAGCACAACCTAGTGGTACAAATAAAAACCCAAGTCATTCTGACTCCAAAGTCCATCGTCTCAGCCACCATGCCATCCTGGTACTGGTACTGAGGCTGTTTCTCCACCTCCCAGAGAGTTAAAAGAACATTCTTCTTTTTTGCTATTGTGAGATATTTCTTAAAATAATGAATTCAAAGTGTCTTCCAATTCTGGCAGTGTTCTGAACCCTGTTCATACTCAATACTTGCTTGCTAGTTGACTGACTAAATGACACGCCAGGTAACCAGACTTCATCAGATTACCACCCCCCCCACAAATGTTTATCACAGCATCTATGCACTAGGATTATTTTAAACAACAACCAGCTCTGGTAAAGCACTTTGAAAAGCTCATGGAATCATAGAAGTTCTGCTGAAAGGCATCTTAGAGACTATGTAGTTTCACTCCCTCATTTTAGACATGAGGAAATGGGGAGGGTCTGGGAGGGAGAGATCCTTGCCCAAGGTCGTACAACAAACACTGTTGAAAAGTGGCCAGAGTTTGGTCTCCTCACTCTCGGTTCTGGATCTTGCTAATTCTGGCCATTCTGCGGAGATGAAAGGTTAGGACCAGCGTGTCTCAACAATAATCCCAAAGATTACCCCACAGCTTCCCTGTTGAGCGTTAACTGGGTCAGTCCAAAGAAAGGGATGGCAGTTAGTCTCATGAAGAAGCTACTTGAGACTTCCTGGATTCCTCATTTTGACACAAAATGCTTTATGGGATCAAATGTGAGTTTTTAAAAAGTTGTTGGAGTGTTTGCGTGTGGTTTTTTCCTTTAAAAATAAAGCTAAGGGGAAAAAGACTCCCACAATTTCTTGGCTGCCTGGCACCTTTTACAACCAGCAGTGTGATGAGAAACATATGGCTGACCAGCGCTCAGGGAACAGTTGTGGGGGGTTTGCTGCCCCCTAGAGAACCAGAAGGTCAGGCTGCACTCCTCCAGGGGTCTCAGGACACGGGCCACCGACCTCCCAGCTCCTCGAGTCAGCGGGAAGCTGGCCGAGGCTGGTAGCTTGTTGTGGGCAGAACAGCAGGTCTCCCTTTATGGGGCTGAGGCACTGGCTTGGTGACATTTACTGCGAGGTGATTGTGGCACCTGCCCCCGTCTGACCCATAAAAAGGCATCTAAGGGACATTCCTGGGGGCTCTGGAATAGTTGAGGGTCTTACCACTAGGGCCCCCACCTCGGTGGCCTTCTGGAGTTGCGCATTTTAATAGTTTTGAGGTTCTGCTACCTGGGCGTGGTGAGTCATTGCATCACTGATGTGGCAGGAATGCACTTAGTAAAATCTCCTGCACACAACTGTAGCCCAGAAAAGGACCCAGACCAGAGGAAGCAGAGCTCAGGACAGGTAATGTGGGTGGACAGGGAAGAGAGAAGGTGTGCCCGCATCCAATACTGCTTAGCTCTATTTGCATCATGGAAATTTTTCAGAATCTGATGAAATGATGAATCTGATGATGGCCCTCCTCTGGAAGAATGTACCTGTACATGTGGGGCATACAGTTTTGGGGGTCTCATGGATCCCTTTGGTCCCAATATGGACATAGCTTTGAGACCCCTGAGTTAGAGAAACAGCCCAGGAAAGGCACAGCTGGACTGGAGATGGAGGGGGCCTGGCTAAGATGGGCTCGAAGAATCAGAGAACAGGAAGGGTTCTTGGGTCATCCTTTCACAAAGGAGGGAACTGAGGCCGAGCACAGAGAAGGGACTGGTTCAAGGGGTCACAGCACATCACTGGCAGAACTAGCAGCGGACCCCAGGCCTCCAGGCCTCAGCCCAGCCCTGCACGCCTCCATCCACCAAGTGGGCAAAGGACCAAGTGGGACACTGCTCCTCGCTGCTTCAGTCTTCCATTCCTCAATGGCCTTGACGGGAACAGTCACTCCTGAGTTCGGGTATTACCTTTGAAAGGGAAAACAACTTCACCGAGGACTTTCTCCTCTGGGTCTCCCGGGCAAAGTCTAAACTCTATTCAGTTATTGAAAACAGCATTTATTTTGTCCTGTGGGATTTCAAACCAGCACCAGCAATGAGCTCGAGCCCCACGGGAGGGTGATGGAGCCTGAGCCCGCTTGGGAATCTCCTCACTTTTAGCAAAGTGGCTGGCTGGTGTCCTGTTCAGAGCTGTGCGTGGCTGAGCTGGGTGTTATGGGTGGGGCTGCCAGCTGATTTAATTAATGCGTTTATGTCAAGTCTACACTCAGCTGCTTCCAACGAGCTTGCGGTGGCTTTCCACTCTTAGTGTGAAAATAAACTCTCCTAATGTGGATGGCAAAGAATAATTTTTAGGAGAAATGTATAAATGTTTAAGGCTTAATCAGAGCACAACAGGCGGTTTTAACTTGACAGTGATTGGCTACATGTGTGACCTTGGGCAAGTTACTCAAGGGATCCATACCTCAGTTTCCCCAACTAAAATGAGGATTATGACAGCACCTATCTCCAAGGGCACACAAAGTGAGGGGATGTAAGTGTTGACAATAAATAAAACTTTAAAATAAATGCAAAATGGTGGTTTTTAGTACTCAAGTCCCACTTATTTTACCTACTGTTGTGAATCCTTCCTACCCCGCCTCCCGCTTCACAGCCCTCTGGTCTGTGTGGCCTGGACTGTCACCAAGCGGCTCCTCCTCACTGATTTCCCCACCTCCAGCTCTTCAGCTCTCTGCCTTCCTCATCTTCCCCTACCCTTAACGTAAGCCTGAAAACTGATTCTCCATCACCTTTGTGTAAAACTTTTCAGTGGCTATCCCAGGGGAGAAAGCCCGTGCATACCTTACTCTATATGTAATATTATTTTTCTAGTTTTTAAAAAGATTTGTGATTATTTTAATCCCCAATTACAATATAGTATAAAAACCAAGTCTAGTTTCCAGTAACATTTAGAGTTCATCTCTCTTCTCTTTACTCCTATTTTCCACCAGGAACAGCTTCTCTACCCAAGATGAACCCACAGCCCTCTGGTCTCCCCCCTCCCTGTACTTGTGCAGAGGAGGAGCTGCTGTCGTGTTTTCGTGTTTAATTATGGGCTCAGACCAGACCCGGTCAGATTCGTGACTGTTATTCATACCTCGGTGTGGTTTTAAGTTGTGGGGTTACCTCTCTCCTGGCTTATTTTCATATTGTCAGCCTTTCGGCTCTCGTTCTGAAACGAAGGAGCCGTTGCTCTCACTTGGGGGTCTTTCAGGCAAAGTGAAAGGAAGGAGGACTTCTTTAGGTGTCAGGGGTGCTAACCTCCCCAGTGCTGTTTGGGAGGGAGCGATGACTCCACTTTGCAGAGGATCTACCCTTGGAGTTGGACTCTGTGGAGCAGTTTGAGATTGGGGGTGAGCCCTTTGGAGGTGGGGAGGGGCGTCCAGATTCTGAAAAGAGAGTCCTCCGCTCTGGGTTGATGAGGCTCCTTGGGAAATCTGACTCCTCAAAGTAAACTCTGTGCTTTTCTAGTTCCCACAAGGACCCCTTCCTGTCATCAGCTCCAGAAATAAGCAGCCCATTACTTTGCAGGGATCAAAGTCTCCTCCAGGAACTCCTCGATCTTGTTGACATCGGTCTTCACGTCCCCGTTGAAGGTCAGGAAGGGCGGGTGGGTGCCAGGGGCCAGGTTGTGCAGGTCGGCTGGCTTTCTGTAGAGAGAGCGAGATTCAGGAGGCGGCTTACCCCAGGGCCTTCCCGTTCCGGGAAACCTGGGACTTATCGTGAATTGGACTCCCTGCACTGTCCAACAAGCCTGTCGGCAAAAACAGACCTACGATGTGGAGTGTAGGCAGGGGAGGTTGGAGAAGATTCTGAAGGGATGCGATGTGACACAGAAAGTCTGTCTGGTGGAAGTCAGTGAGACAGAAGCAAGTCAAAAGATGCAGGAGTACAGCAGTATTGAAAAAGCGAGAGCAATCACAGTTGACTATCTAAATCAGTGCCAAGCTTTCAAGACCCGGGGCAGAGGCTGACCTTTGATTTCAAAAGTGCCTTCACCAATTAGCTTAACAAAAACGCACTAGACGGAATTCCAAACTTTAAATATTAGTGAATTCAATCGCGCTTTTATACTAAGAAATATCTTCTGTATTGTTAAGGGTCTGTGCAAGAGGGAGCAAAGTGACCTTGTGTTTGACATGGGGCCCTCTTCACGCCCAAGGGTGCGCTTCTGTGCTTCCCCCACCTGGCCGGAACGCAAGAGCAGGATGGAGCAAAGCGAGGGGAGGAAAGGTTGGCAGTTAGGGGAACTGGGGAGGGAGAAGGTTGCACTGAGAAAAGCGTAAGGAAGAGAAGGAATAGTGATGGAGACTTCCACGGGCAGGGCTGGAACATCAGAGTCACCCAGAAGGCTCTCTCTGAGAAGGCAACACTTCTCGTGGGGGTCAGGGGTGGAACACATCAGATGGAGGAACTGCGAAAAAAGGAAACAACGGGAGAAGGGGAGTCTGTCATGAAACAAATTCCTGGCGTGATCAGTTAGGGAGGGGAAGAGAAGAATTTCAATTACGTGCTCCTCCCATACCCTTCCCCAAACACACACACTCTCCAGTGCCTTCCGTGGTACTTGGAACTCCTTAGACAATCGAGACCGAAAGTATTTTTAAAATCTAATTGACTTAGTCCCTTTGTTTACTTTGTGCGTGTCCCTCATTTCAGACAATGAAAGGACATTCTTTATCTTCTCCTCCTGTTTTTAGCTGACACAAGGCAGCAATGTTTGGGTTCCCAGCTGGGAAGGGCAAGCTATACTGATTTTATTTTTCAGCAATTACCTCTCTGTGGCTTAAAGATAGAGAAATGAGGTTTTTTCCTGTGACTTGAGAGAACAATAGCCTCTGGAGGGTGGCACCCTTGGGAAGTACTGCCTACGGCTGCTGAAGCTCGGCGGGACATTGCCAATGGGACGCTGGTCAGTTGCCCCCCTCTCTCTTTGTTGACCCCCTTCAGCATTTATGGTTGAAATTATATAATTAGCGTTTAACTACATATTGCCAAGTCTAACTTATGAACTATTTAATGTAGATCAGTCCTCTTTCCTGGACTGGATTGCCAGCTCCATGAGGGCAGGCAGGATGCTCAGAATATCCAACATGTGTGGGGTTCTTGCTAAGAGCCAGAGACACTACTGAACGCAAATGCTTTCCATGGCCTGCCTCACTGAATCCTCATGAGAACGCTATAAACAAGGCACTACTTTTATGTCCTTTGTACAGAAGAGGAAACTGAGGCTCAGAAAAGTGAAGTAACTTGGTCAAGGTCACTCAGCCAATTAACAGGGGTGGTGCCAGGATAAGAAATCCATTTTCTTAGAAACTGTTAAACTTCATCATATCATACATTAAAAAAAAAAATTCCTTAACTCTTTATTACGTATGTAAAATACATATTATATATATTTTATAAATATGTATATCTTATTAACTATACATATTATATATTTTTTTCTTTTTTCTTTATTTTTGCAGTAAGAAAGTTTCCTTATCTGTAAAACTGGAGTTGTGAGACTTGCCTGGCTCCCCTCAAAGGGTGTTGGCAGGATCAGATGTGATAACAGATAGGAAAGAGCAACATAAACATCTGAAGAATGCTGGGCTGGCTTTCTCTCTCATGCTGATCTCCAGCCAAACACACAAGTCCACTTTCACAGACTATAATCCAAAAACCTCCTCTTCTCCATTGAAAGAAGCTATTCCTTCAAATCATATGAAAGGCTGCTCTCTTGAGCTGTCACAGACAATAATTGCCTAGCGGATGCATGTTCCTTTATTTGACAGATATTAGCTGGGGGCCTGAAGGAGTTAGCTGCTATGGCGGACACAAAGAAACCTAAAACATGATCCCAGCCTGTCCTTGAGGGATTTAAGGTCTCAGCTGAAAGACAGAACAAATTCCATAACTGATGTGTTCTGAAGAGCGTGGTATGTGAACCAAGGAGACCAGGTTTGAGTAGTCGGGCACTTTGGGCAAGTCCTTTAAATGCGTCTGTCTCGGTTTCCTTGTGTAAAATGAAGAAACAAGATCTCCTTCACAGGATTCTACGTTATGTGATTTTTTACGGGAAAGCACTCACCAGTTGTAAAGCGTTGAGATTGTAGATACTATAACCTGGTGAAATGCTACATGATGATGCAAGGCAACATGGACGATAGGTGCTGGGTGAGTCTGGAGGGAAGCTGGAGTGATAGAGTGCTCCTGAGAGTGGTGTCAGGGGAGGAAGTCTTCCCGGCGGGGGGTGGCTGGGCGCAATCTTTCCCTCAGGAAGGCAGGGAGAGCCTCTGTGAGACAGAAGAAGCATCCTAGCCAAGGGCTGGAGGCTAGAGGGTACAAGGATAGCAGAAAGTGGTCCAGCCTGACAGAGCCACGTGGATCGGTCATGGCGAGAAGCATTGGGAGATAATGTTGCGAGGAACCAAGGAAAAGACAAAGCATCAAAGGAGGGCTTCAGATGCATTTAATCCACAGGCAATGGGAAGTATCAGAAGGTTTTCTGAGTAGGGGGAGCCACATGATTATTTTAGGAAGAATAACCTTACGATAACATCAAGGATGGATCAGAGAGAAAGAGACAGAGACCTGGAAGGATGAAGACCAGTTTGAAGAACAAAGAAACAGTCCGGCTGGCAGCAGTGGGACCTGAACCAGGTGTAGGCTTTGAGACTGGACAAGAGAGCTTGGAGGTAAGAGCTAGCACAATGGGAGAATGCCCCGGACTTGGTGACTGATTGACGATGGAGGTGGCAAGAGAAGGGAGCTGGAAATGTTTCGGTGCCTAGAAAAGGGAAAAACAAAGGAATTCAGGAGGGGAGCTGAACTCAAAGGAAAAATCACAGATACAATTTCCCACATACACATTTTAAAGTGATAATAGAAAATGCGTGTGGAGATATCTAGAAGATAGCAGATTTCTGGGTACAGAAAACTTTACATGAAGGTGACAGGGAGAATATGCTAAGCTCACCAGGGAGGAAAGTAGAGGCAAAGGATAAACACTCAGAGCGTGAGCCTGGAGCTATTCCACATTTAAAGGAAGGTGGGAGAGAGAAAGAGAACGCAAGCCTGAGAGTGTGGCTCCTGATGTGAATGATGCCTGGTATTTTTCTCAGCATTGAAGCTGCACTGTAACTCTCCATCCTGGCCTATAATCCAGATCTCCCACCCTAAGGAATACTGAAGATGGGAACAAAGCAGGGGAAGTGGTCTGGATCCCAACTCCCTGGAAACTCAGACTCTCACATCTGAAGTCCCGCTTGGGTCCCCCAGGAGGTGGTGCCAGTGCTACCAGAATGGTGAACTCTTGCATTTTTAGATGTCCCTGCCCAGCTCCGTGCCAGACACTCTTAGCTGCAGATCCGTTGTCCGTTTCCCCTTCTTCTTTGCTAATCAAACTTTGCTAATCAGGACCTCGAAAGGCTCGGGCCCAAGTGAGACACTTGCTTCTGCAGCCTCCCTGGTAACTGGAGGTCTGGCCAGTGAGGTGTGAGCGGGAGGCTGCTGGGAGCCACGGGAAGGCTTTCTCCTTCTCTCACAGAAGGTTCTCAGTTTCTGCAGCTAAACATATTCCTCGTTGATACAGCATCCTTTACCTTTTCAGATCCACAGTGGTGACATTGAACACGACTCCTTTCAGCCAGAGGATCATAAAGAGGCGCTGAGAGAAGGGACAGTTGCCGATGCTTTCCCCATCGATTCCAGCCTAGAAAGGAGAGACCGAGAGTCCTGAGTTGGCACATGCATATTAGCAAGAAAGAATATAGGATTATAACACCCAAACACTGGTCTGAGGAGAACTGACTAAATCCGTGTCCCAGCTCATATTATTCATCATTGTCTTCCTAATGTCTACGTAGGGCAATGCCTGGCACAGGGCAAGGGCTCAATAAATACATGCTGAACCAAATCTGAGTTTCCAGCATGGCAATTATGTAGAATCCTTACTTTCTGAAACCATAGAACCCTAGTATCTCAGGGTAAAAAGAGACCTGCAACATCACTTAGTCTGTTACAAATCATGTTGAACTGCCAACTTCTACACCCCCAAGTAATCATCTAGTCTATGCTTGTCTCCACTCGCCAGTAATTTATGTCTCTCAAAGCAGTCCATTCTGAGGATAGTTCTAACAATTAGAAATGCTTTTCTTTGGCTATACCTAGCCAAAATACATTCCTCTGTAGTTTACCCTCTTCTATCCTTTGGTCTTTGCTCCATGAGGATGTCATAAGTACAGATCTTCAGACTTTGACCCCATCTCCCTATATCTAGACTAGTCAGCAAGCTCAAGATGTTAATCAATACCCCACTTAGTGCTGACTAGTACTTGACCTTCAGTGTCAATAAACCATTCATTTGTTAAGTTATCCTTTTACTCAACAAATACATATTGACTATCAATTACTGGCAAGGCGCTGGAGAAAATTACACAGGAGATTAAAAAATGGGTTCACTCAGGGAGCTTATGGCCTTCTGTGGGGTGGCCTGGGGCCAAGACAGGAACACATATGTAACAACAGCAGATAACATGATTGAGTGCTGGCACACTTCTGCTCATTATCTTTCCCCTTCTCAGTACCCTCCTCAGAACAGTATTTTTTTTTTTTTTATTGCCTGAAAGGCAAGTCTACCTTTACTTCTGAGTGGGCTGCAGAGACTTGAATTCTACAAAGAATTCATTTTCAGCAAACACACAAACAAACAAAACGGTGGAGTAAGTGATCTCTGTATAATTTATTTCCACTGAGGAGTTTACTGGCCCTGATACGGTGCTTAGAGGAAGAAATCACCCACTCGCTCTAGTTGGCTGTTGGCTCCGCTGGAAACTGTAGCCCCCTCATCAGGTGGCCTGAGCATCAGGCTCCACAGACAAGGAGGCCCAAGGAGGGAATGCCCCCAGACTTCCTTGCAAAGCTGCAAATATTCCAGCCAACATTCTGGAAGGGGGGCTTGCTAAGATTTGTTTTTTTTGAAAGAGGAGGAGAAAAATGCACTCCCAAAGCTTAGCACATTATTTTCCCCCTTGAGGTTTGTTTTGCTGTGGCGTTGGGATGGGGAGGCAGAGGGGCCTTCTTTCATACAGGAGAGCCTCATTGTGCGCTTATTTCTACCTTGCAATTCACCCCCAGCAGGGGCTCAGGTTCATAATGGAAAACTGGCGCCTTTGACGGGGCTGGTTGTAGGTAATTGCTATGAAATTACAGTTATTTTACCTCTCTCTTAGCTATACCAAGAGCCCCATCCCTATTCAGTTCTCACTTTCCCTCAATGCTGGAAAGAGACCCACCCCTGAGTAGTTGAGACGCCATGGGCTCTGTTATATAAAATCTGAAAGGTGGGAGGGCACAATGTGGGCGCCACCCCTGCCTGCAGAGCTACAGGTACTGATAAAGCCACACTCAGCCAGGCAACTATTAATGTAATAATAGCTTGTGCTGACTTGAGTCTACGATGCCAGTTCCCTACGACCTTCCTGAAAAGGACTCACTTGACAGGCACCTGGTTCTTGGTCCTTTAAGACATTCTGACAAAGGACTTTTCCCCAGGGGCCACTTACAATGTAAGTGACAAGTGGAGAATTGAAAAAAAAACAACAACAAAATCAAAAGCTACATCCACATACCATCGTCTGTTTTACCTCTAGTGGTGGTGGGTGGGGAGGGATAAGGGAACTGAGGGAGGAACCAGCAAAATATTGGAATTCTTATCAGCTGGACAAAAAAAAATCAAATAATAGTAATGTTAACGATCACGAGTCATTGTTCTAAGTGCTTTACGTGTATTATTAACTCATTTATTGCTCATGTGAAACCTGTGTAGTGGGATATTATCACCCTTTTACAGATGTGGAAACTGAGGCACAGAGAGGGGAAATACCTGGCTAAGGGTCCCAGGATTGTACCCCGGTGATCGGGCCCCAGATCCAGAGCTCTTAACTGCCATGGCTGGAGTCCAACCTGAGGACCCAGACAGGTAACTTGGTCACACGAGGTCACAGAGCTGGAGGTGCTGGCGCTGGAATTGTCTGCACCCATCCTGCCTGTCAGTCCACGAGCACACAGCTGTGCCAGAGGGTAGACAGGGGTGGCTCTCACAGCTCCCACATTTCCATTATTGCCATAGATTATGATTCTAGGCCTAGTAACCAAAAATTGCCAAAGGACCAATACAAATAATATGTGAGGATTCTGTCATTCACCTCACTATCTTTGCATCTTTCTTTCAGCTTCCTCTTTTCTTTCATTGTTAAGAACACTGAACATGAGACCTATCCTCTTAAGAAATTTTTAAGTACAATACATTATTGTTGACTGTAGTCACAATGTATAGCAGATCTCTAGAACTTATTCATCCTGCTTACCTGAAACTTTATTCCCATTGATTAGTAACTCCTCATTTCCCCCCCTCCCTGCCCCTGGCAACCACCATTCCACTCTTTGAGTCTGTGACTTTGGCTATTTCAGTTACCACATATAAGTGAAATCATGCAGTATTTGTCTTGCTGTGATTGACTTAATTCATTTAGCATAATGTCCTCGAGGTTCATCCATGTTGTCACATATTTCAGACTTCCGTTCTTTTTAAAGGCTGAATAGTATTCCATTGTGTGTATACACCACAGTTTCTTTATTCATTCATCTGTTGTTGGACATTTAGGCTGTTTCCATATCTTAGCTATTGTGAATATTGCTACAGTGAACATAAGAGTGCTAATATCTCTTCGAGATCCTGATTTCAGTTATTCTGAATAAATACCTATAAGTAGGGGCCGGCCTTGTGGCGTAGCAGTTAAGTGTTCATACTCCGCTGCTGGCGCCTGGGGTTTGGATCCCAGGTGCGCACCAATGCACCACTTGTCAAGCCATGCTGTAGGCGGCGTCCCACATAAAGTGGAGGAAGATCAGCACGGATGTTAGCTCAGGGCTGATCTTCCTCACAAAAATAAATAAATAAATAAATACCTATAAGTAGGGTTGATGGATCATACAGTCTTCTATTTTGAGTTTTTTGAGGAACCTCCATACTGTTTTTCCTGGTGGCTGCACCATTTTGTACTGCCATCAACAGCGTACAAGGGCTCCAATTTCTCCATACCCTCGCCAACACCTGTCATTTGTTTTTTCCGTAATAGCCATCCTGACAGGTGTGATGTGAGATCTCACTGTAGTTTTCATGTGCATTTCCCTGATGATTAGTGACGTTGAGAATTTTTTCATATATCTGTTGACCATTTGAATGTCTTCTTTGGAGAAATGTCTGTTCAAGTCCTTAGCCCATTTTTCAGTTGGGTTATTCGTTTTTTCACTATTGAGTTGTTCAGCTTCCTCTTTTCCTCTTTCACAGCGCACAAGTCCTGTGGCCCATAAAAACCGTTTGTTAAACTCAGGGGTTAAATGTGGTGAGCTTGGGGCAGCCACTTGAAACATCAACCGAGAAGAACTAGGTGGGGCTCAATGGGATCCCAGGCCCTGAAAAGTATGATGGAAAAATCCAGATGGCCTTTGGTCCAAAGGGGCTCTGAGCAACGGAGGCTGGGGATAGGCACAAAAGTGGTGGACCAAGTTGATAATAATGTCCCCCTAAAATTCGTGTCCACCTGGAACCTGTGAGAGTGACCCTTATTTGGAAATAGGGTCTTTGCAGATGAAATCAAGTTAAGATGAGGTCATATTGGATTAGGGTGGGCCCTAAAAATGACTGGTGTCCTTATAAGAAGAGGGAAATTTGGACACCGACATACAGATGAGAAAGTTTAGAGATTGGAGTGACATGTCTACAAACCAAGGAACACCAAGGATTCCCAGCAAACACCAGAAGCTAGAAGAAACAAGGAAGGATTCTTCCCTAGAGATTTTGGAGAGCACATGGCCCTGCTGACACCTTGATTTCAAACTTCCATCCTCCAGAACCTTGAGAGAACAAATTTCTGTTGTTATAAACCACCCAGTTCATGGTAATTTGTCATGGCAGCCCCAGGAAACTAATGCAAGCAGGGAAGTGTCAAGAAGAAAATGGTGTACAGCTAATAGCAAACTTCCTGAGTTCACAGTTCTGCTCTGCCATGGGCCTCGTGTGCAAGCACACAATTGCCAGCCAGATACAACCCCAAAGTACTTCCTGTTCCCTAGATATAGTAAATTTATTTACTATGTTATACTATACTATATGCTATAAGGTATAATAAAACATAAAATATTATACAGTATATAACTTTACATATAATAATGATAATAGCATAACGGAATTACAGAGGTTGCATGATTATACACTATATGTTATGTGCCAGGTAAGTCATATTATATGTTACAAGATATTGCCTTTCATGTAGTCTCTCTCTCTCTATGGTGAGCTTGGCTACCACAAAACAGGGGCCAGGTTTTCTTTTGCCTATAGCAGCAATGAGCACTAGTGCCTGAAACTTAGCTGATACTCAATGCTGGTTAGAACAGATGCATGTTGAGGGGAGGGTGATATTGCTCCCTTTCTGTGGCTTGAGTATCTCAAAATCCTGATGCTGGCACCCTGAAGAGTGTCCTGAGAAGAAAAGCTTGGGTTGTATAACACATTATAGCAGGAGATCGTGGTTCTAGACCAATCTCTGTCACTAAATCACCGTGTGCCCTTGAGTAAGTCACCTCCCTCTCTTGGCCTCGATCATTGCACTTAAAACTTCCTGCAATTTTGTGAATTCAAGTGGCTAATGG